TATATTTCTCCTTTCCCTTCTTTTTTGTCTCTCTAGTGTAAGAACCTGAAAGAATACATAAAATCTGAAAGGTATAATAGATACAGGGATAAGGAAAGAACGTGCTCAAAGGGAAGAAACCATGGGGATAAGGGAAGGAAGCAAATCTTTATTTTGTTTTCTCTGAAAACAAGGCTGCTGCTGCATCATATGAATTTGTTGGTTAAGTCTGTTTCTCTTATGTTGAGTGATCTTTCTCTCTCTTTCTTTGCCCCTCAAGCCTCAGCAAATTGCATCAGAAAACAAGGAAAGCTCTCGAGTTGAGTCAATGAAAGAAGAAAATCTGAGGACCCCTGCGTGTGCTTCTCAAGATGTAAGACTAAGGCAAAGTGCTTTGAACATGAGGACACAAGGTTTTAACATCTCCAGTTCATGCCACCATGAACACTCTACTTGTATGCGATATTATACACATCAGGATTTGAATTCAGTACCTTGCACTTGCCAAGGAGGCATTGCACAGCTGAGCTACATCCATACACACTATTATGCTACATTTTAAAAAGTGGTAACTTTTTTTTTTTTGACAGAACCAGGGTTGAACTCAGGCCCTTTTGCTTGCCAGGGAAGCGCTTATTCTGCTGAGGCATCTCCCCAGCCCTAAAAGGTGGTCACTTCTAAATAAGGTTTATAAAGGTTGTGATGGCCCATATGGCATAAATGTGATTGTGTTACAGGGGCCCTCTCTTCATATAGACATGCTCAGCTTATTGTTGAGTAACATATAATATGCATCTATACATAAGTATGACTGTATGCGATATAGGATATGTATGTACATGCATATAATTGTGCTCATACAGGGCTGTGATATTGCTAGAGAAGGTTTTTTATTTCATTCATTGTTAAATTTTCTAGAGAAATCTAGTAAACTATGATGCTTCAAACTAGATTTACAGGGCTAGGAAGATGGCTCAGAGCATAAATGCCTGCCTGGCAGGCTCAAGGTGCTGAGTTTGATCCCTGATTAAAAAAAAAAAAATTTGCACAGCACAGCAGCTGAGTAATCCTAAGAAGTGAGGACCCCAGGGCTCCCTTCCACTACCCCTGAGGAATAAGTGGATGCTTCCACTGAATTTGCTAACTTACAGGAAGCAAGGAGAAGGATATCTGTACCTATGAGAACTATTGTCTCTGGATTTGTCCAGCTTTAGGTAAATGTTATGATCGACTTAACGATAGTGAATTTCAATACCTTCAATATGTTTGTATCTCAATCTAGAATTTCAATTTCAATTTTATTTTTTTACTGAACGCCTGACTGAGAAAATTGCATAAAGAACAGGGATTGCTTTCAATATGTACATTCTACATATTTTTGGTATCTATTGTGAGTTATAGGAATATATTTTTGTCAGTTACCTTCAAGTAGAAATGAAATCAATGCTGATAAAACTTGCACAAGGAAAGGCTCAGGAGCACAAGCTCCTACCTGACCAGGGCAAGGGCTCAAGTCGAGTTTTACGAAACCCCCCTCCCAAAGCAGATGTACAAAAGGAAACAGAAAAGACTATGAAGTAACTAAATATTCCTGGTTGCTTAGTGTTCTAGGAAACAACTTGTACATTTTAGGACAGAGCAAAAAGAAGCTGATGAAAATAGATAAAAAATTTATATTTCAGTCAAATATAAAAATGAATTTTATGTGAGTATTTGAAATAGAATAAGCTATTGAAGGAAGTAGTATGTGTTCCGTTAAGGAAAAGCAGCTCTGTATGAAGGTGTCAGAAAATAAAGCCCTACATAAAGGAAAAGAACAATCATCTTAGCCTTTAGGGTGATAAGTGAACTCTCTAAGATCTGCAATGAACAAACACAGTGTCTCAGCAAGTACACAGCAAATGTTATGCATTTTTATTCTTATTGGTCACACCTGAGGCTGATAAAGTGCCAAAGTTACATCAAACCTAGATCTGAATACCAATTTTGCTGTCTTAAAACACTGTCACCCTGGCAAGTGCTTCAGTAATTCGCATGTAATATCAGAGTACAGTACATCCGTGCTTTTCGGGCTCCGTTCAGACTAGGCGCCCCCAGGCAGCCAGTCCAGCCGCTTTTGCAGTTCTGCTCCGCTGTCCAACTACTCCGAATGTCTGCAAAGGAATGGGAGTGACTTAAAAAAAATCGCAGATTCTCTGTATCAGTGTTTCTGTATTCCCATAGTTTGCAGAAGGTACCTTTGTTCAACAGCATTTTGAGAATTAAAGAAATTGAGCATTTTATTTATTTATTTATTTATTTATTTATTTATTTATTTATTTTTGTTGGAACTGGGGATTGAACTCAGGCCCCTGCTCTTACCAGGAAAGCACTTACTATTTCCCAAGACCCGAGCATTTTATTTTACTTCTCACTTAGATAGATGCTCAGAAGTGAGCCTCCATATAAGCATGTTTTGTACTATTTTTGATTCCTATAAGTAGCGAACATTTAATTTTTCTGAATGTGCTGAGCAAACAAAATGCAACCCCGGCTCACGTGAAGTGCTGGCAGTAGGTTCCCGGGTTCCGCGCTTTTCCCTTCTTCATGTGAGCTCCTGAGCCAGCGATTTCTTAAACAGAGATGTACTGGGTAGGAAAACCACAGGGACAAACGCATAGAACGTGAATCTCAGGGCTGCAGGCTGAAAATCGCACCCGTTTCCCCATCATGGGTTGCTGTTATGCGCGACGCTCACGGTGTGACCTGCGGTCCCCAGCGTAAGGGCAGCCAGCGGCTAGCTCCCGTGGTCTGCGGAGAAACCATGTCTTGCCTACCGCGCGATCGGGGCGTCCCAAGAGCTGACTGCACCCAAGAGTTCTTTACTGTGGGGCCGTGCACACATCCAAGGAGTAGTTCTGGCCCTGGATGTCGAAAGCATGGCAGGCTGTTTCCAAGTCTTCTGTTTTCTTCAGAAAAATTCTGTCTCCTCCATGAAATATAAATCTGTGTTTATTTTCTTGAAACACCCTAACCATGCTGGATTAAGATGATAATTACAATTTTTTATCAGAAACATATAAGGCTCTTAAGAATAATGGTTAGTCTCTTAATTTAGTAGATAAAAAATCTAACTAGTATATGGATATATATTGTGAGGATATGTTCCTAAAACGATCTGAAGACAGCACTTAATCTGATAATCTGATAGTATTTTCTCCTCTACTGTCTCCTTGAAAAACAGAGAATGTCTTATTTTTTTTGGATTCCCTATGGTATTTAGTTTAAACATGTAGAATTTTGTTCATTATTAAAGTCCAATATGCATTTTCATTTTTATGAGAGGTTTCCTTTTTGAAGTAGATAATAAGCAATTTGAAGACAGATGATTAATAACCTTTGTGTTGTTCACAGAAAGACGATGATTTTCTTAAGGATCCTTAAGCAAATAAGGGACCACAGATGTGGGAGCATATTTCTCTCACAGTCTCTGTAACCTTCTACGAATTGCCACTTTTATTCAGCATGCCATTTCCCACTTTCTAACACTTGTTTTCTCAATGTATTGTTCTTTAATAAATATGAAATATTTTTGCACACAAAAATTGCATCATTGAAGTATTTAGCCAAAAGGACATAAGTGACTTGGTACTTAATTCCATTTTTTTTCTTTCAATATTCTAAACATACTTGCTATTAGCTGGTGGTTTCTCCCATCTAGTAAATGTCAGAGGGAGATAGATGTTTGTGTCAGTCATGAAATGTTTTCTTGGTATATTTGTAGATCACCCAGTTGTGCATTTCTACTACCTTTTTAAAGTTAGTTTAACATTATACAGAAAGCCTATCAGAGAGATAACAAATTGCTCTTATAAAATAGAAACATGGGCTTAAAATTAATAACAAACGTATATCAACTGGCAATGTCAGAGACACACTAACATGCAGGAGATTCTTTCTGCTTTGATGCATACAGATTTATTCTCTACTTCTGAGAGCAGAAATAGAGCATAATTAAAAGTAAACAAAAGCGAAGAGTGCATTTTCTTTTGGTAGGCATTTCACTGAACATTAATCAAGCCTTGTGACCCTTTTAAAGGTCATTCTAAACATACAAGTTTATTTTCATAAATAATTTCCAAAGGAAATATTTTCACTGACATTAAAATGGTGCATGCTTTATAACAAAATGGTATAATCCTCTTAAGTTTATGTGCTCATGATGTATTTGTAATCAATTAATGTGACTTTTAATAACCTTGTACTCAGAAGCAGACAAGCAACACTGTGCCAGTGAGCTCTGCTGCATCACTGAGACAAATATCCAACATGCGTGACTGAAGGGAGAAGAGGTATAGTCACTTCAAGACTTTGGTCCACAACTAACAAATGCCAAGGCAGAGACATCATGCAGAAAGGTGTAGAAGAGCAGAGTCATAGGTTGGGGCAAAGAGGAAGCAAGGGGTGGACGTGCCAGGGAGAATGGGTGAGGGGAGAAGATCCAGTACAGCACCCATGGCTCACTAGACAGAGCTAGACACGTATTCTTCCAGCCTGGCAACTATATGGTCCCAAGTTCGAGGCCCAGTACTACATGCCTTGCTGGCCCTGGAACCCTGGACACACCATGCCTGCCTGGAACAGGGTGTGGTGGTGCATTTTGGCAATTGCAGTGCTGAGGAGCCTAAGACAGAAAGATCACTTCACGTCTGAGCTTCGTAGCAAGACACTGTATCTATCTATCTATCTATCTATCTATCTATCTATCTATCTATCTATCTATCTATCTATCGAGAGCGCAAGGATGTGTAGTTCATAGTTTATTACTTTGGTTTATCCCAGATTCACCCAGAGCATGCATTGCTAATCTGCTAGGCATTACTTACTCCAAGGAACTTGACAAGTATTGATCAGTGATCACTGTTCAATTTTATTCTGCTGTGAAATAACACCCAGCATCCTCGGTCTCTCTTAGATTACCTACATTATTACACATATTAGGAATTCAAAGCCTGTTTCAACACTATAATCGTACTCTTGGTGGTAACTAATAATATCCTAGTACTAGGGTCTTCCCCACACAATTATTGTAACATGTCCTGTTCTCCATGCACAAAAGTAGCTTTAAGAACTTGTGTCCATTACATGGTTTATTGTTAGCTTGATAGCTTTGGAGGTTATAGCATTTTATTAGGTTCATGGCCTAATCTCTGAAGCAGCCTTGATCTGTGTGTATGTGAGTGTGTGTGTGTGTGTGTGTGTGTGTATGAATGAGTTATTGGTGAAGATGTGTGAGATAGATTTTAATCACTCTAATAAAGATACATTCATCAATCCTCCCATTCTGTTACCCACAGGCCTGACCGGGCCCCGCCCTGAGCTGCCTGTATAATC